GGGGCTCTAAAGCCATTTTTTTTCCTGCCTCTATTAGCCTGACGTCACTCTAGGAACAATGTTCAGCTCAATTTTTCACTTGCTATTCTGTGTCTACTCTGAAACCCAAACCATCCATTTAGTTTAGTGTTTTTTTTTTTAATTGTAGTCACTCCAAATTTTAATTCCCAAGTATATGGTTAATTTTTTGTACACATGACATCTCATGTTTCTCTAATGATATTAACTACAATTTTCCAATATTTTCAATTGCTCTGTTTTCTCTAATATCAGTTGTAGAAATGGTGCCCCTTTAATGATTTTTTGTTTTCCCCAAATGTGTAAAAATGAGTTAGTTATCTATCTGTTCCATTTTGCGTTTTAGCATCTCTATTCACTTTTCCTTTGATTTACTGTGGCCAGCCTCGGCCAGCTTTGGGCAAGGAGCCGCCCTGCAGAGGCAAGCGCCTGTTGACAGTGTCTTCCAGGTGAGGGAGACTGGCCATCTCAGCTCCCTGGGCTGCTGTGTAGAAGTGCTGGGAGGAGAATGGAGTGGACTAGCCTCCGTGATCTCCACCTTTCCCCGGTTTCTCTCCTTGGCCACTGTTTCAGTGACCTCGTTCCCATCTCTTGATCTCTTAACTGTGAGCTCGTGTGGACTTCCACCAACTTTGTCTTAACTGTGGCCTCCACGGGATTTGAGCTGAATTTTTCTTCTTTCTTTTGGGGGTGCTGGAGGTTGAACCCAGGACCTCACACATGCTAAGTTCATGCTCTGCCCCAGAGCTCCACCTCCCAGCACCCCAATTTTGCTTTTCTCAGATGTAATTTTTCTGCAGTCTATCTTTTCTCAATAATTCTGGTTTGTTGACAGAAATTTTTCATGTTTTTCTAGTTTTTGTTTGTTTTTTACTTTTTTTTTTTTTTGGTACTGGGAATTGAACTCAGGGGTGCTTAACCACTGAGCCACATCCCTAACCCACCCCCCCTTTTAAAAATATTTTATTTAGATAAAATTTTATTTAAATAAGATTTATTCAGGGTCTCACTGAGTTGCAAGTACCTCAGTAAGTTGCTGAGGCTGCCTTTGAACTCACRATCCTCCTACCTCAGCCTCCTGAGTCGCTGGAATTACAGACATGTGCCACCATGCCCGGCTTGTTTTTTACTTTTTAAAAGAGTATTTCTTAACATTTTCTGAGATTTTAAATAGTAGGTTGAGTATAGTTATGTGTACTTGGTTATCTTTCTGATCCAAAATCTTAAATAGTGTTTGTGTGTGTGTGTGTGTGTGTGTGTGTGTGTGTGTGTGTGAGAGAGAGAGAGAGAGAGAGAGAGATTTGTATTTTTTCTGTCCTATTTTTCAATTATTCTTTAAGTGATATCTTGAATAAAAAGTTATCATAAAGTCAAAGTTGAAATGAATACCTAATTTTACTCTTTTCCACTTTTTAAAAAATTTTTTCTCTACTTTCTTCTTTCTGGAAAAATGACCAAATAAACTAAGTATTTTCATGGTACTTGCTTGTGTCATTAAAAATGCATCCGTGTTTCCTGAAATGGGACATGAAATTAACACTTGTGGGTAGCAGCAGATTCCAGGGTTTGGATCAAGGCTGGTGGCAGTTGGGTGTTATGGTTACAACTCATTTTAGAAACTGTGATTCTCTGGTTTCCAACACTAGACACATTCACAGAGACTCACTTGTAATCCAGAATGTCTATATTTCCCCTTTACAGTAAGAGACGTAATTTTGTAGGGACTAGTATTATGGTAAAAAGCACGATGGAGAGTTGAACTTGAGTCAGAATCCTGGTCCATCATTCACTGTCTTTGTTACATAATATTTCTGAACCTCTACTTTAGTCCTTGTGAACATTAAATGAAATAAAGTAGGTGAACTTCTGGGAACAGAAGTAAGTACATAGGAAACAGAATAAACCTCAGTGTTAATGGTGAAGATGATGATGGTGGTGATCAGTGGAGTCTGCTCCAAGAATGAGCCCATAAAAATAAATTAATAATCCAGATGGATCTTTGGGAAGAAGAATGGAATCAGCAAAGATTGTCTTAATATAAGAGACATTTTTATTTAGTTGTCTTTAGTTTTTATTTCTTTAGTCTTTATTGAGTTGTATTGAGAGAAAAGTAATATTTTATATCTTGGTTTTCTCACATATAAAATGAGGCTAATTTCATAGGGTTGCCATGGATCTTCAAGGAGAAAACACTTACAAGTGCTTAAAATGATGAGAGGTACCCAGTAGGTCAAGAACTCTTAGCTATTGTTGTTATTGGTATTTTATACAAACTGCAGAAGATCCAGGAAACCATCCTTGTTTTTTTTTTTATCAACAATTGGAATGCATCATTAGATCTGATTCATGTCATAACAAATACTTAAAATTGGGACTAAGCTAGAAAGACTGGAACCTAGGGTTATTACCATGACTACAGTGTACTTGTGCCCACCAAGACTGCATCTCCTCTGTGTGAATTCTTCCTACCTGGTGCTATTACTTCAAGTATTTTCAAATGATTACTCTTTGAATTATCAGTAGAACACTTTTATCAAATAAGACCTTGTAATATGTAAATAAGTTGCGTTGGCTGGCCTGAGGTCCCTGCCCCAGAACCCTGTTTTTGATCTTCCAGAAACCTATGACTCCTATGAACACAATTTGAAAACCCTGCTCCTTATTGGTGGCAATACAATCAGCCGAGCAGAGAACAATTTTCTTTTTAAAATAATGTGCTGGTTGTTGGGGCTGGGGTTATAGTTCAGTGGTAGAGCACTTGCCTTGCATGCTTGAGGCCCTGGGTTCGATCCTCAGCACCACATAAAAATAAATATATAAAAATAAATATTAAAAAAAGAACGTACTGCTTGTGCATTTCCAATGATATACTCTATTTACTATTCAGATTTGGAAGATACTTTTGATAAAYGCTCTAGTTTTATCATTCGTACATTACAAGCCCTATCTTTGGGTTGGTTACTTTTTCGATGGCTGCCTCAGACATTTTATATTGATTACTTTTAGCTATCTCTGGAGGGCAGCTTTATTTTGCTTCCTTCACAATCAGGTCACACTTGTTTAGTTTGCATTTCCTCATGAACTTATCTTGGTCAATATTTCCACTAAATATGAAGATCCTAAGATATTTGATTTTTTTCTTTCCAACTTTATTGAGGAATACTTTATGTAAAACAAATTCCATGTATTTAAAGTCTACAATTTAGCTTTGACAGTTCTGTATGTAGTGAAAGCATCACTATGATTAATAAAGAGAAAACTTCCATTACCTGAAAAGGTTTTTGGGGATACTGAAGGTTGAACAGAGGGATGCTCAGCTACTGAGCCACCTCACCTGCCCTTTTTATTTTTTATTTTGAGACAAGGTCTTGCTAAATTGCTGAGTCTGGCCTTGAACTTGTGATCCTCCTACCTCAGTCTCCTGAGTGGATGGTATTATAGGCATGTGCCACCACACCCACAAAGCCCCCCTACCAATGTGCATCCTTTCCTCCATCCTGGCTCTAGGTAATCACTTATTTTTGTCATTATAGGTTACACTTCATACAAATAGAATCATAAGTATGTATTTATCTCTGGCTTTTTCAACTCAGCAAATGATTTTGAGATTTGTCCATGTTGAAGCCTGTGTGAGTAGTTACTTCTTTTTCAATGCTGAGTAACATACTCCATTGTATAGGTTTACCACAATTTGTTTTTTCATTCACTTGTTGATGGACAGTTGAGTTCCTTCTTGACTGGGGCTACTGTGGAAAAAAAAAAAAAACTGCCTATGAACAAAGACTTTGGGCATATATTTCAATTTATTTTGGATAACCCTAGGGATATCTGTGTTGCACTTTTAAAGAAATGTTTTGTGAGACCTTGCATTCTCAACCCGTCTGTGTATCCAGGCTCAGATAAAAATACTAAATTTTCATGTTTCTCTAAGTTGAGGATAAGAAGAAATTCTTATCCTCTCCCTCCCTGGCTCACCTACTTCCAAATTAATTGCTCATCCACTTCTTTTGGGTTCTTAAAATAATTTCAACCTCCTCCTTTCTTCTCCAGCCCTGTTACGACCATGTCAGGGTTTTTTGGTGCCCCTTCTGTATCACCCACAGTGCTGGGTGCAAAGGGGGCACGCAGGACTCTGAGTTAAAGGGGCAACAAGATGGGTTGGGGATGTGGCTCAAGCTGTAGCATGCCACCCTCGCCTGGCATGCGCAGGGTGCTGAGGACCGAACTCAGCACCACATAAAAATAAAACACCTCAAACTAAAAAATAAATATTTAGAAAAAAAAGGGGGGAGGGACAACAAGATAGGGAGCAGCTCTGTTCCCTGGACTGCACTAAGGGGCCCAGGAGCTAGGGATTATGCTGCAGGCAACATTGGTGAGAACTCTTGAAGCTGCATTCCATTCACCTGACTCACGTGCTAGAGGAAACATCCCACCTTTGTTTGAGGACAGTCTTTAGGTATTTATTTATTTCAAACAGGTGTGGCTGGTATATGACAAGGAAGTGTTATGTGAAATCTCAAAAGGAAAGAAAACTTTTTCTTTCATAACAAATAGCTTTTCTTTTGACCTGTGGCTTTCAACATGTGGTACCCAGACTAGTAGCAGCAGCTTCCCCAGAGAACATTCTAGAATACCAAGTATCTCTCCAGACCCCCTGAAACTCTGGGTCTAGTTTAACAAGCCCTCCAGGTGATGCCAATTCACACTCGAGTTTAAGAGGGGGTAGAGGGTCATCTTTGGGGTTGGTGAAGGTGGGGGGGGGTCTGCAGGGATGACGTGGCCGCCGAGCCCACCCACCTCCTCCTTGCTCCTTCCCCCTCCCCGCACCTGCAGCTTCTTTCATCCTCCTCCAGAACCAGGTTCTTAGCTGGAGGTCCCCTCCCTGAAAGCTGCAGCCAAAACCCGGCGAGTGGATTCCGAGTTTGCGAGCCGGGGTAGCCGGTCGCGCATGCGCGGTGGGGGCGAGCGCAGCAGCGGGGCGGGCGCGCAGAGGTAGCTGCAGAGTCGACCTGCGGGGCTCGGGGATCCCCAGCCGGAGCTGCAGTACGATCGCAGCAGGTACCAGGCGTGGGAATGCGGGAGTCGGGGCCCTAAAGGCAGGCAGGACCGACCGAAGAAAAGCAAAGCTTGACTTCCTCGGGGGGCAGTCAGAGATCCTCGCCAGCCAGGCTCTCCCCGCCGTGCGGTGCGGCGCCAGCGGATCTCCGGACGCGCTCTGCCCACTTGGGGCAGCAAGAAGTGCCCGCAGGTGTTACACCGTGTATTTGCACTATTTAAACAATATACATGAGACGTGCGTTACTATGCATCTCTGCATAAAGTAAGGCATTTGATTGAGTCTTCTGTTTTAAACTTTCGGTGGCTGTTCGCGAGACTTTCTGGATCAGTCTTTTTCGTTTGAATTCTGTGACTTGATTTATTTGTCTTTGGCCTTTTGGTGCATAGGATCAATAGGGCTAGGATGAAACTGCATCCGTGCTTTCTGGGTTTGGTGTCTTTCCTGGAGCATGGGGGCCTCTGGATGCGGCATGAGAAATGTCAGTTTTCAGCGGATTTTCACTGTCAAACTTTTCCAGTTTCAGCTGCATTTCAAAGTACTGACTTTACAGAATCCCCTCCCCTTTACCTTTCAACATTACAGCTTTAAAAAAAAAAAAATCTTCATTTGGTACTATTAAAAGAAGTTCTCATACTTCATCCTTTGTTTATCCTGTCACATTTTATGGCTTCTATCGATATATATTTCACTTTGGGGCTGCCGTACTGGATACACTTGTAGGAGGCTAAAGCTGTGCTGCACAAATTTCCTAGAGAACCTTTTGAACCCTAAGCACAATTTCAGGGCAGGAGGCAAACTGAACCCTGTGTAGGAGTCAGGAAGAAAGCAAGTGCTTTTGCATCCTGCTCTTCCCTTGGAATCAGCTTCTCTTTAAATTGAATTCTGTAGTGAAATTCTACAGTAAAGTTAAATTATAGTAAAGTTAACTTTGTGATGTGCGAGACACACTCAGAAGTAGTTTAGGAAAAAGAAAAGTTCAGGAAGAGAAACAGAAAGGGGATATTTTACCTCCTACTTTCCCCCATGATGAATGTTTTAATGGCAGAAATTATATACAGTTGGTCCAGTTTTGGTCTGCAGGGGCCTTCGAGGTCAGCCAGTTCAACTGCTTCAGTTTACAAATGAGAAAACTGAGACCAGTGAGGTTAGATGACTTGCTGTGGCCACCCAAGTCCCTCGTTGGCAAAACCGGACCCGAGAACCAGGTTTTCTGATTTCAGGGAGTTTCTCCCTGCTGAAACTCCTCTCATCATTTGAATAGGTTATTAAACTTTCTTTTCCACTTTCTCATGTAGTCTGGTTGGAGCAGAAAACTAGCTGTGTCTAGTACTTAGCTTGCCGTACCTTATAAACTCCTTTCAAGAAGTGTCACTCAAGCCCCACCTACGAATTTGCTGGTCTTGAAACCAAACTATCCTCCTTCGTTGGCCTGGAATGCTTGTTTGCCTTCATCCCTGTTGAAGTCTGTCCATGTTGCAAGATGTTTCTCAGCTGTAACCTCTTCCTGGAAGCCTTCCTTGATTGCTGCAGCCATAAGTAGTTTGCCCCTTTAGAACCCTGTAGTGCTTATCACTGTCATCTGTGCTGCTGGTAATCCTCACTGTGTATGGTATTGTGAATTATATTTTAGTACACAATCCTTATTTTCTGACCAGGAAGTTGTCAGGCTGTGTAAACTCTTGAAGGTTAAAGCCCGTGACTTAAACATCCCACTCATCGCTAAGTACAGAGTATATTCTCAGCCACTGTTTGTAGGAGGGAGGAAAATGAAGCACCCATAGTTTTCTGAAGGATTCGATGCGGGTATTCTGATTTACAGGAGAGGCCACCTTAGAGTGGTAGCAAACAGAGATGGAGTCAAACCAGCCAGATAGGATGATTCTCATATTTTGACAAGAGATTACAGATTGGGGGGAATGCTAGAGACAGGTAAAAACACAATGGTGAACAGCTGTCCAGAGCTTGGACTGAGCATGTGACTTGTAAATGCAAAGTGGAGTAAGAGTGATGTACAGGGCGGGGCATGGTGGCACAGCCTGTAATCCCAGCACTGCGGGAGGCTGAGGCAGGAGGATTGCAAGTTCAAGGACAGCCTTAACAATTTAGCAAGACCCTATCTCAAAATAAAAAAATGAAAGAGTTGAGAATGTAGCTCAGTGGTTAAGCACTCTGGAGTCAATCCCCAATATTGCACCCCTCCAAAAAAAAAAAACCCCAAACCAGAAAGAAGCATTTAATGAAAGACTAGATTTAAAGGAGGAAAGGTGTTGAAAATTACTAGTTTCAAGTTTGGAGTGTTATTAATGGGCTTATAATATCCTTTTTGTCTTATTAGCACTTCTGATTGGGACATGATTTCTCTTCTGCTTCTTACAGTTGTCAACGTAATTGTCTTTTTCACATTCTAGAGGATGATATTGACACTGTGATTCTTAGAATGTCTGGCACATTGCTTTACAGTATCAGAACTTAGTAGTTCTTGAATGAATAAATAAGTAAGTGTATTTTGACATGAGGAGGATGGGCAGTCAGGATCTTAGAGCTGGTAGGTAGCACTTTATCCGAACTGTCCCCTTGTTGGATAGAGGAGGAACTGAGATATTCTTAACTCAGCTGGTTAGTAGCATAGCCAGAGGTTCTGTTCAACTTTCTTCTTTACTAGGCCCCAGCCTCTTTCATTAACCCTTACTTTTCTAGGTTATGGGCACTAAGATTAATTTTGAACTGGTGACTGGACAGTCAGGGTTGAGATGTTCTGTGGATCGAAAACCCTCAGAAGGGGCTGGGGATGTGGCTCAAGCGGTAGCGCGCTCGCCTTGCATGCGTGCGGCCCGGGTTCGATCCTCAGCACCACATACAAACAAAGATGTTGTGTCTGCTGAGAACTAAA